ACAAAAGTGATAAAGTGAGAATTCCACCAACTTTTTGCCCGCTACAGACGGACTTAGCCGCATCCTCACATCTCTGTCATCCCCGTCGATGAGATCCCCGTCTAGGGTTCACCTTCCACTTTACTAGAAGCTCCGTACAGACAGGGCCTGGCCATGTCTGTCTCGTCCACCACAGTATCCTTTGCATTTAGCACAATGCCTGGCACATAGCAGGTGCTAACTATTAACACATTAGCTGAATAAATCTCTTCCTTAGGGGCTTTACTCCACGTATCTTCAAACCTTTTCTCTTTCCTTTATTTTTAACCTTTCCTTTTTAACTGACACTTTCCCCTCGGCATATACACTCAAGCACGTATCACATAAGCCTGTGAGTAAAAGAAAAATATTCCAAACTTCCCCTTGATCTTTGCGTGTATTTAGCTATCACTTAATTTCTCTCTTCGGTTCACAGCTAAGCTTCTAGAAAGTCAGTTATACTTGCTGTATCCATTTCTTGCCTTTTAATCACTTCTCAATCAGTTGCAGCCTAGTTTGCTTGTCAATCCACTGAAATTGCTGTCCTCAAGCCCACTAATGACCTGCTTGTCACATTCAATGACCATCTCTTCCCTCGGAATCCTTTGCCCGCTTGCAACCTTTGACCCTGTTGACCCCTCCCCCCTTGAAATGTTCTCCTTTTGCTTCCTAGGGTCCTTCTTTCTCTTGGTAGAGACTACGGGCTTAATAAAGATTAAGTGAATGAATGGCTTCATATCTATCCATATGGCCTCTCTTTCTCAGCCTTCTCTGACCTCTCCTAGGGTCGTAGCCTCAGCTACCTCTTCTTGCCCTGTGCATTCTCGCTGGTCAGGATAATCCACCCCAACAGTTATAGCAGGCTGAAGTCTTGCTTGACTGCTTCAGATCACACTGAACATTCTCTTCCTGAATTGATACGAGAATACTGATCTAATCACGATAAAATGTCAGCTCATCAGAACCCAGAGGAATATTCCATTCTGAACAATTTTTTTTTTCAGGTAACTGAAGTTTACCTAATCAAGTACCAAACATTTTCATTTGAAATGTCTCAAACAGAGATTATTCAAGAAGGTATAATTCATTTCCTGTGGATTGTATAGTGGGAAGAACACGAGTTGGAGTCATGAAGACCTAGATTCACCTCTGGAGTATGGCTTTGGATAAACCCCTTATCTCTAAGGCTGAATCTGTCAACTGCCAGTGGACAGATTACCTTCCTGCCTACATAACAGGATCGGAAAGGATACAGGTAGTCCCCAACGTACGACATGTTCGACTTACAACAAACCACACTTACAACAGTGGGTTTTTTTTTTTTTTTTGGTGTATCTTATTGTTAATAATATGTACTATATACAATGTTGCAGTGTGTGATTTGCTGATGTTACCATTCTCAGATGTCCACTCATAGATGTTCAATTTTTTGATTTAAAAGATACTAACAGGCAATAATAATGAAAACAAAAATAAAAAATGAGGTATTTGACTTACATCAGAACCAACTGGAATGGAACCCCGTCACTGGGGACTACCTGTAATGCAGGTGAAAATGTTTTATAAATTCTAAAGTGTTTCACACATGTAAAATACGATCATTTACGCTTTTGCTTACTAAGAGGGAGCACTGTGAACTCAGCTGTCCAGGGAAACAGCGAGGACCCCAAAGTCTAGACTATGTGTAGTTACTCCTGTTTGCCCCTCCTTTACGTGGCCAAAAATGCTGTCACCTTCAGTTTCAGCTTTTTTTGTTTTCCTAGTCTTCCCTTACACTAAATGCTCATTGCTCTCAGTGGTCTTGCTTCTAAAAGCTCCTCTTTCCTCTTTTAATTTGCTGCTGTGGATTTGGAGATTGGTAGAAATGGGTATAGATGAAGACAAAATAAAAGGCTTCCCCATGAGTGAAGTGATTGAATGTTACAACACGTGTCGCAGTGCTACTGTTTCCTCTTCTCTCCTGGTTCTTGGATGGGTTTTCAGTTGTTTTCTTTCAGCAACTATTTATTAAGCACAGTCATGTGCCAGACACTAAAACATAACCCTGCCCTCATGGAGCTTACAATCTAACAGAGAAAGACGTTAATAAAATCACAAATCACAGTGGAGAGGGATTATTATACTAGGGGAGGCGCGCGGTTCTACAGGACTACGTCACAGAGGGGTTTAATGTAGTTCGGGGAGGGGGTCATGGACAGCTTCACAGAATATGTGACTTTCCAGCTGAGACCTGAAGGATGAGTAGGAGTTCCTGGGCAAAGCAGCGGTTTGCATGAGAGAAGCGTTCCAGGCTGAGTGACAAGAAGTGAGAAGGCCTGGAGCAGAGGGGAAGGGGGAAAGAGAGACGCTGACCTCGGTGAATAGCGGAGGAATGACAGGAATCCCAGCGCGGCTAGAACAGAGCGCAGACAGGGACACAGAGGTCAAGCTAGAGAGGTAAACAGGTAAGGTTGTTGGCAGCAGATCCTGGATTCAGAAGGCACTACTCTATTTGCATCTTCTCGGATTTTCCCTCCCCTATTTTCCAACGGGACCCCTGGCGGCGCAGACATTAAGAGCTCAGCTGTTAACCAAAAGGCTGGCAGTTCAAATCTAGCAGCCACTCCTTGGAATCCCTATGGGGCAGTTCTACTCTGTCCTGGAGGGTCACTATGAGTTGGAATAGACTCGACGGCAGGCAACGGGTTTATTTTCCAACTGGAGCCCTGATGGCATGGAGCCCTGGTGGCACAGTGGTTAAGTGTTTGGCTACTAACCGAAAGATCAGCAGTTGGAATCCATGAGGCCGCTCCCTGGAAACCCCATGGAGCAGTTCTACCCTGTCCTATAGGGTCACTATGAGCCAGAATCAACTCGATGGCAACGTTTTTTTTTTTCCCAACTAAACTGTATATTCCTCGAGAAAAGAACGTTTTATTTTTCCTGTGATTTTTTATAGAGCCACCTAGTATTGTCCCTAGAGTCTATGATCAGTGAATTGATGGAGCACACAGAGGTAGAATGCCACCACATTCAGTATGAGGTTAAAGTTATCACCTCATAAACTTGTAATTATCAAACAAGCACAGGCTCAGGAATCACATCAGGTCCCGACTCTGCCGTTTATTAGCTCCGTGACTTGGGGACAGGTTATTTACCTTCTTTAAGCCTCCGTTTCTTCATCAGTAAAAAGGATATAGTGAGTGAGATTTAACTCATAAGGGTGTTGTGAGGATTGAATGAGATATTGACACAGCATCTAGGAGAGTGCATCCCACCAACGCTAGTTTCCTGTCTCTGCACTCCCTCCCTCCCTCCCTGAACTTGGTCTCATTCTTGTCCATCTGCCTCCACACCTCTCTCCATAATCATCCCCTCTCCTTTCCATCTTCTAAGCCTTCTCCTTCTCCACAGGCTCCTTCCTCTCAGCCTACAAAAGTGCTCAAATCCCAAAGGAGCCTTTCCATTTCTCTTCATCCCTTTCCCAGCACACTCCTTCGAAGACTTGTCAACACTTCCCAACCCAAGGTGTATCACGGACCCTCAGTTTTGGACTCCGGGAATAAAGAAGAGAGAATAATAAAGGAGCCACGAGCCAACCACTGTCTCCAAGAGGACAATCAACAGTTTTGGAGACAGTGGTATCCTGACTGGCTCCACCTCTGCACTTGGATTTACTCTTCAACTCTTCATAACCAGCCGACTTTCCGACCCTTCCCTTTCTTCTAGAGCTTCTCTCTTGTAAAGTCACCAAATCCCAAGGTCTCTCGTCCGTCAGTTCTCATCCTGTGCTTAAGCAGACTATACCATCGATCACTTCCACAGCTAAAAATTGGTTGAAGCGTTTAACATGTTCCAGACGCTGACCTAATGATTTCACTCCCCTGATCAAAAGGCTTTCATGGAGTCCCCACTGCTACAGGGAAAGTGTGAACTCTGGAGCAACCAACTCCTTTAACGCATGCCACCATTTTGACTTCTTCTTCTCTAACTATCTATGTTCCATCCTTAGAGAATAAATGACCATTTCCTGAGTGTGCCCTGTATTATATTCATTCCTGGTATTAACTTATGGGGTCCCCACTTTCTGGGAAGCACGTCTTCCCCATTTTTGCTTATTAAACAGCTGACTCCAACCTTCCAAGTCTGCCTCTTCAGCAAGGCTTCTTGGAGCCCTCCTGTCAGAAGCAGTCTACGAGAATAACGCTTTCCTCTCGTAATTCTTTAAACCTCAACTCGACTCCATGGCACCTAACAGCTATTACAGCTAATGGCATAGTTTGCCTTGTAGTACCGTTCTCCATACGTAAGTTTATCTCCCTGACTAGGCTGTAAGATTCTTGATGGTGAATATTTTTGCCTTCCTCAGAAACTGTGACTTACCTCATTTTTGTTTCCCCTTAGCAGCTACAAAGCTCAGGAGGCTTGTTCCACACAGCGTCTCAGTGCTGTGCTGACACCTGCTGGTCGCACGTGGTCCAGCAGCCCTGGCCCCAGCGCCTCCCGCCCTCAGTATTCAGGGTCCAGGCAGTCGGTGCCCCTTCCCCAGCCAGGCACTGGACGCACATGCTCGTGGTAATGCCGCCCTCCCTTTCCCTGGAGACTCCGGGAACACGCTCAGACCTGCTGGTCCCTAGCTTGCCCCTGGAGTCTCCAGCCGAAGTCCAGTTCACTTCTGAGAACTTTCCCACTGGTTCTCGCCCCAGAAATGTGGACTTGACTTCTTCCCCAGTATCACAGACTATAAGAACAGGGTATAGAGGAACTCGGCAGGAAGGAAAGAAAGCGCGAACAATTGGAGAGCGAGTCTAAGTCAGTCCCCCTCCCCCTTCCCCAGGAATCAAAACTGTTTCCCAGAGGGCTATTCCTTCTGCCCTTTGTCTTATTTCTAGGAGGCTCTGGGCTGTACCCTCCTTGGTGATAGTAGTAGAGGATCGACCAACCGGAGGTGGAGCAGAGAGGAGGTAGGCGGGGCTTGAGGGGTGGGGCCAGGCCAAAGGGCCCTCACCTAGGAGCTTCTCCATTCTGTCAGCTCTCCCGGGAACATCCAAGGCAAGACTGGCCCCAGCGCCGGGCAGGTGACGGACTGGCAACCACAGAAGGGTAGGCTCTAGGGGAGTGGGTGGTGGGAGGGTCCCCAGTTCTTTCAGCCTTAGCTTTCCGTATTGGGAGACTCTCGCTTGATGGAGAGAATTCTTGGGTCCCCCGTGGAGATGTCCAGCTGAGTTTTCCCTGGGACAAGCCAGCCTCAGAAAGAAAGACGTGGCTTGGGATGGGGTGGAGACAGCAGAGGCTGAGGGATGGGGATGGATATGGGTATTTGACAAAGTATCATAGGTTGCAAGGAAATCTCAGAAGATGTGGAGGTAGATGGGTAAGGGCCAGAGGAGAGCATGGCCAGAGGAACACAGGGAAGCACCCAGACAGGATAAAAGAGGAGGCTGAAAGTGACAGAGGGAGAGGACAGCAGACCAAGCGTGAGGTGGCAACGGGGGGCCAAAAGAGAGCTGGGTAACAGGAAGGCCAAGGAGGAAGGAAGGCTCATGTGGGGCAACCTCGTCTTCCGGCTGTAGAGCATGGCTAGAAAGTCCCAGGCCAAGCCAGGAGCAAAGCAAGCTTCCAGGTTCCCGCTGGACTGGTGCATCTGGGGAAGAAACCCCCCCAGTTACCCATCCCCTCTACCTCTTCAGACTCCCATGTTGGTTTGGGGGAGAGGGCGAGGCTGCTCCTCACTGCGGTCACAGCCACATCCTGCAGAGCAGGGGAGGGGGAAGTAAGAAGCAAAACAACCAGAAGAAGACACATGGGGACAGAACCCTGGACACACGCAGCTCACGTGCCTCCAGGAGGGTCCTCGGTCCTACCCCAGCAGACCTGAGACTTCCAGTGCTGCCTGCCCCCGGGGGTTGTTTCTCAGGCCTCCTGGGTGCGCGTCACCCTCATTGAGGGTCCCGGGAAGGAGGTCCTTCCGGATTATGTGGTTGGATACCCGTGCTGATCATTTACTAGTGACCTTGGCCAGGCTACTTAATATCTTGTAGCTCAGTTTCCTCATTGTCAAAAGGGGTGTCCTCCTTAAGGACAGTCGGGGAGATTGAGATAATTCATAAAGCACTTGGCACCAAATAAAACAAACAAAAAAACTGTTGCCGTCGAGTCGGTTCCGATTCATGGCAACCATAGGTGTGAGAGAACAGAACTGCTCCACAGGGTTTTCTTGGCTGTAGCTTTATGGAAGCATATCACCAGGCCCTTCTTCCGCGGCACCACTGGGTGGGTTCAAACTGCCAACCTTTTGGTTAGTAGCCTAGTGCAAACAGCTGGGACTACCCAGGGACCTACAGGCTCTCAGTAAATATTAGTTCTTGCTAGAATTCCCGGGACCCCATTTCTCACTTGTGTAAAGACAGCACAGAGCGCTAGCCGACATCAGCCTTGGGAGTCAGAAAACCAGTTACGTCTGACCGCAGGTAAGTTACATAACGTAAGCCTCGGTCTGCTCAGTGGTAAAGCAAGGGGAGTAACGGCTACACCTCAGAGACTGTGGTACACAGTCAGGGTTCAAAACGGTGGCTGAGAGAACTGTCTGCCAGGTACGCCCTGTCTTCTCCAGGGTAGCAGTGACAGCCTGCTTCCCCTTAAGACACGACATGTGGTGAGCTGGCCACATGCCTGCCATCAAAGATTTCGCCGCTCCTGCTGTTTTGGAGACGAGGTTTCCTACAGCACTAAAGGAGCCCTGGTGGCGCAGTGGTTAAGAGCTCAGCTGCTGACTCAAAGGTGGGCAGTCCGAATCCACCAGCCGCTCCTTGGAAACCCTGAGGGGCAGTTCTGCTCTGTCCTCCAGGGTCGCTCTGAGTCGGAACCGACTCCATGGCACCTGACAACAACAGCATTAAAAGAGAAAAGCAGGAGCGAGTCAGAGAGGACTAAGGGACTCAGGGGAAGGCAGATGACAAGCAGAGATGAGGGTGAGAAAGAAACAGAAGGAGAAAGGGCATTTCTCTCTCTCTAAGGAAGCCTGCGGCCTTCCTTCTCGTGACTGACCACACGTCCCACTCCCCAGGAACATGGAGCCTTTCAGCTCAAAAAGCCTGGCGCTGCAAGCGGAGAAGAAGCTGCTGAGCAAGATGGCAGGCCGGTCCGTGGCCCATCTCTTCATCGATGAGACAAGCAGTGAGGTGCTGGACGAGCTCTACCGTGTGTCCAAAGAGTACACGCAGAGCCGGCCCCAGGCCCAGCGGGTCATCAAGGACCTGGTCAAGGTGGCCGTCAAGGTCGCCGTGCTGCACCGCAGCGGCTGCTTTGGCCCCGGTGAGCTGGACCTGGCCGCCCGCTTTCGCCAGAAGCTGCGGCAGGGCGCCATGACAGCACTCAGCTTTAGCGAGGTGGACTTCACCTTCGAGGCTGCCGTGCTGGCCAACCTGCTGACCGAGTGCCGGGATATGCTGCTGGAGCTGGTGGAGAACCACCTCACGCCCAAGTCCCACGGCCGCATCCGCCACGTGTTTGACCACTTCGCTGACCGGAGCCTGCTCACGGCCCTCTACGGGCCTGACTTCTCTCAGCACCTCGGCAAGATCTGTGATGGACTCAGGAAGCTGCTGGATGAGGGGAAACTCTGAGAGTCCTGAGCCCAGCATGGTCCACCTTGGGGAAATGGCCGACTGAGAAAACCACAGACAACGGTTGGCCTTCTAACCCTGCTCATCTGCACTAACGCTTTTTGACCCCTCCGGCTTCAGTCCTTCCCAAGAGCGCTTTGGCTCTGAGACCACCCCACACCCAGACTGCTGATGGAGACGGGCAATGCTGAGGGCTGAGGACTCTCTCCCATTTCAGCCCCCAGGACAGGAAACAAAGCTGCCTGAAAAAGACGAAGTGAAACCTGGATCTCTATTGCCTCCATAAGGGACGTTTGCCACAGGAAATCCCCCTCCTCTATGAAGCAGGGGGAGGGGGCACAGTTCATCTAACCCATCCGGGGACACTAAAGACAGAAGTGGGTAAGGGGCCCTTAGAGAGAGACATCCTAGCACCTCCAGTTCTAGGCAGAGCCTGGATGGACACCAGAGGTCCCATCCCAGAGTGCAGGAAGCAGGGGTGAGGGCAGGGGCGACCCTCACGGGGGAAATAAAACTACGAAAACATGCACAGGGCTCAATGTTTAATCTCTCCGGCTTCTCACGCCTTATGATCATCGCAGAAGAAAGGCGGGCAGTAAACACCACTGATCTCACCTCTCCCCATTTCCATACAGGAGACTGAGCTTATTTCCAGGATCAGTGAGGTTGTCCTACCTACTTCTTCTGTTTAAGAAACTAAAAAGAACAAACTGTACTGCAGACAAATGGCAGATAAATACGCAGAGAGGGGCGAGGCATAGACAGACAGGCTCGGGGGGATGGGGTATGACAGCGACCCCCACAACAGAGGGGCCTGTCCTTCTCTTCAAATCCCAACACAATCCTTCTCCCACCCCCTTAGCCCCATCACAGGCTGAGCAGAGAAGCAGGTCAGTGGGGTGAACTGGCGGGATGCAGCATTCAGGAGCTTACAGCGCTGCTTTTTCTCACAGCAAGAGTCGGGAGTTATAGGGGACTGGTTAGTCAAGGCTGAGCCCAAATCCTTAACTTTCAGGCTGGGGGAAAGGCCCGGCACAGTTCCCATTCACTGCAGTGGGATGAGATCACCGACTGCCCCATCCTCAATAACATCCTTGGCTAAGGAGGTGGGGGACCAGCAGTCACTGTCTCACCGTTCTGGGTTCCCCTCACCTAAGGGTTACAGAAATCCCATCTTTCGCCTAGCAGTAGGAAGGAATATAGCCAATAAATATTACTTCAATATAGCACCAAATAAATTAGATACATAGCTGGGGACAGGGAGGAGGTTGGGGGCTGGGAAATCCCCTGCTTCCCTGCTCTAAGGCCAAGGAATGCCTAAGGGACGGGAAAGGCAGCAGGGATGTAAAAACAGCCTTTTGAATCTAAAGGACAACTCTAGATTCAGCCAAAAAACTGAGAAGAGGTCTACTTCCCATCCGCTACTCTTGTAATAAAACTTCCCCAGGCCGAGGAAACCCCTGGGTGGGCAAGGAGGCTGGGGAAGATGGCGGGAGTGGAGGAAGGCAGGCTGGGAAGCTGTGTTCTTGAGCCTCACCTCAGGCTCCTCTCCCCTCAGGTTGTCCCTTCAACATGTTGCTTCTCTCAGTCAGTTCTGGGGACATCAGAGTTTGAAGATTTCATCCTCCTGGTCCCGTAGCGTCCGGGTCCGCGAGGTCCGGGTCAGCGGCACAGGACCTAGGACCGCGCGTTGCTGCATCAGAGGGGAGCTCAGGTGGGGACCTGCATCCTCCCCAGACACCCTGCAGTAGAGGAGAGGGGGAAGGAGTGACAGATCAAAGGAAGAACCTGAGGATGGCTCACATGGAGAGGCACATGGGAGGCTAACCTTCTCCCCTAACACGTGAGCTCGTTGCTCTAAGACGGCATCTTAGTACCCTCTGGATAAATCCCTGATGCTCCTTCATGGATCATCAGAGCAGGAAGTTCTACTCCAACGAGAACACAGAACCCAGTTTCCCACTGCCTCTACCCATTCCAGCAGCCCCTGGCTCTGCTCACTGTCTCGGGGCCACCTGGGGAAAAGGTATCAGTTTGCTTCTGCTGGCACCGTGCTGACTTGTGTGTGAGGTTTAGGTAAGGCGGGAAGAACAGAGGAGTTCACGCAGGGGCTTATAAGGAACCATTCGAGACTCACCTGCTCTCCCCTTTTTTCAGCTTCTGGGCAGCAGCCTTCTTTGACAGGCTGATTTGTGAATCAAGCTTCTTAAGGAAGTCAGAGGCTGAGAGGTCGTGGATGGGCGTGGAGGGTTCCTGGCCAGATGTGGGGAGCATTTCACCATTGGCACGCCTCGAACCTCTTTCTGGCTTTTTTCTCTCAGCTGAGTGGGGCCTAACTCCATCCTTACTTGGCTGTACCTCTTCCTCGTCCTCGGAATCTAAACCATTGAACAGGTCTCTGGGCTCTGTCAGGATGGGGATGTAGAGGGTTTTCTTCAGGAAGATGGAGTCATTAGTATAAAGGCGGTTTGCACGCTTAATCTGTTCCATCTTAAAAGAAAAGTCACCAAAATTAATAACAGCAATAACAATTAATCTTACATTTGTATAGCATTTCATGCTTTTTATAAAGTGATTGTTCAGAGTCTTACCTGACCCTGTAACAACCAAGCCGAAGTTCAGAGGGCTGATGTCATTTTACAGATCAGCAGTTCTCACACTTTTTAATCTCAGGGCCCCTTTACATTTTAAAAATTTATTGACGATCTCAAAGAACTTTTGTTTATGTGGGTAAAAGCTGTCGATATTGCCAGAAGAAGGAGATGGTGCCCGGCTACCACCAATGACCGCCCTGACAGGGAACACAACAGAGAGTCCCTGATGGAGCAGGAGGAAGGTGGGGTGCAGAACTGAAATTCTAGTAAAAAGACCAGACTTAATGGTCTGCCTGAGACTGGAGGAACCCCAGAAGGCATGGCCCCGGATTCTCTATCAGCCCAGAACTAAAACCATTCCCGAGGCCAACTCTTCAGATAAAGATTAGACGGGACTATGGGGACATAAAATGATACTCGTGAAGAGTGTGCTTCTTAGCTCAAGTAGATACATGAGACTAAATGGGCAGCTCCCATCCGGCATTGAGATGAGAAGGCAGAGAGGGTCAGGAGCTGGTTGAATGGACACGGGAAATCAAGGGTGGAAAGGAGGAGTGCGCTGTCACAGTATAGGGAGAGCAATTAGGGTCACATAACAATGTATGTATAAATTTTTATATGAGAGACTAACTTGAATTGTAAACTTTCACTTAAACTACAATGAACAAAATAAATAAACACAAGTTTTTTAAAAAAGCTGTCAATATTGAATGCATTATAAATTAAAATTGAGAAAATTAAAAAATGTGTTTATTTAAAAATAACAAACTCATTACATGTTAACATAAATATTTAAAAAAAAAAAACAAAACCTGTATTTTCCAAAACAGAGCAAAACCAAAATGGAGTGAGAAGACAGGTACTGTTTTACATTTTGCAAATCACTTTGATGTCTGACTTAACAGAGGACCATCAGACTCTCTGATCTGCAACTACATTCAGTCTGGCGCGGTATCGCCCACCATGCAGTCTGTGGAAAACTCCACTTCACGGTCATGAGAGAATAAGAATGAAAAAAAAATCATGACTTGTTTTTACTACTATGAAAATAATTCTCACCCTGTGGGCCCCTGAAAAACTCTGAAGGACCCCTAGGGGTCCCCAGACCTCACTTGAGAACCGCTGTTACAGACAAAGGCTCAGAGGTTAAGTCGTTTGCCTAAGATTATGTAGCAAGTTGATGACAGAGCTAGAACTAGAATCCGGAGCCTTTACATTCCTTCTGGGAATGCTTTTCCCAGTATAATATTAGTAAATTTCATTGATCAAATATTTATCTAGTACCTAGTTATCAAATACTGAACACAGTGACTGGCATCACCATGCATCCACCTGGCCTCCCAGGACAGAAACACCAGTGTCATCCTGGACTCACATCTCCCTTGCAGCACCCAACATCCAACTGGGCACCGGAAGTGCTTCCGAAATCTGTCCACACACACGGTCTTATCTTTATGTCTACTGCCACTGCTTTAGAACGGACCCTTAATATTTCTCATCTGGGTTATTCAACGGTTTAACTGGTTTTTCTCTCTCCATTTCTGCCCATCCTCTACCCTGCTGACATCCATCTTTCGTAAAAAGATGAATAAATCTGCCCAGTTTATAACCTCCCATGGCTCACCCAGAAACCATGGTGGCACAGTGGTTTAGAGCTACAGCTGCTAACCAAAAGGTCGGCAGTTCGAATCCGCCAGGCGCTCCCTGGAAACCCTATGGGGCTGTTCTACTCTGTCCTGTAGGGTCGCTATGAGTCGGAATCGACTCGATGGCAACAGGATTGGTTTCTATGGCTTCCCCCGCAAAAGATAAAATCAAAATTAGCATTCAAGGCCTTTCTCAGCGTAGCCCCCACAGGACATGTTGAGCTTCATCTCTCTCCTGCACCTGTACATTTTGCCATTCCAAACTCTTCCCTTTTCTTTGATCATTTCATGCTCTTTCACACTTTTGTGTCTATCCATGCTATTCCTTCTGCCTGAAACGTCTCCCCACTAGCCTCGGCTTGGAAAACATGTACTCAACTACATCACTCCCTTTGTCTTACCTTATCAGGGCCCCCAAAAACCCATGGCCTTCAAGTAGATTTCAACTCATAGTGACCTTATAGGACAGAGGAGAACTGCCCAATAGGGTTCCCAAGGCTGTAAATCTTTCCAGAAGCAGACCGCCACATCCTTCTCCAGCAGGGCTCCCAAAGCATCTGTAAATATTGCCCAAATAATACCTACCCTGTTACATCGTTATTCACTTCTTTGCACGTTTGTCTTTCCCACTGCCCTGTGAGTCAGTCCTTCAGGGGAAGAGATGGCAACTTGCTGTCTTGTATCCCCAAGGCACTGTTCGGCATCCCACAATGTTTGACATTAATGGGGCTCATTAATGCATTATGAATAAATACAGAATACAGTATAGGAACCACAGACACAGTCCATCAGTATTTTACTATCAGAGAGCCAGGTTGCCAGTTTTACTAAAAATTCATCCTGTGTTGGCATCAGCTTGGAAGGCCATATTTGCCAAATATCAAAGCTGTTTCTACTCTGGGGCAAGACTATGATCACAAATGTGACTAATAAAATCTGATACTGTTACAATATGTTTAAAAATAACATCAGATTAATCTGAACAATTAAAAGAAGTTAAAACTGGCTTACGGTTCTGCACATTTACTTTGCCGAGTGCTTCTATGCTATTAATTTTATTTTGCCTAGATAATAACCTAGGTCCCTTCCAGCTTCAAGATGTTATGAATTAACCTGTGAAGTTTCTGTGTGTTTTATTATGTCCTGGAAGCACTATATAAGGGGACATCATCCTACTTTTAAGAAGGATGTAACCAAGATCAAAGCCCAGAGGGACCCGGGGCCACAGGGTCACAGTCGTGAGAGCTCGAAAGGTCCTTAGAATCCAGACAGTATAATACAGCCAAAAAAAAACAAATGTGTTGCTGTCGAGTCAATTCCGACTCATGGTGATCCTACAGACAGAGCAGAACTGCCCTGTAGGGTTTCCAAGGCTGTAATCTTTACAGAAGCAGCCTGCCACATCTTTCTCTTGAGAGCAGCTGAACTGTTGACCTTTTGCTTAGCAGCTGTTAACCACTGTGCCACCACTCTGTATAACAGAGCAATTAAAAGTGAAGGTTTTAGAATGAGACAACCTGGTCTGATCCCAGCTCTACCAATTATACTAGTTGCATAATCTGTGTAAAGTTATCTTACCTCTCTAGGCTTCAGTTTCCTTGTCTTTAAATGAGAATAGTTGTACCTACCTCATAGAGTCTTATGATAATACAAGGTAACACGTATACAGAGATTTCCACATAACAAGTGTTCCTTAAATGATAAGTAGGTAATAACTCAGATAATTATCATTATTTAACACATTTTCCTCATTTTACAAATGGTAAGGAAATTGAGGTTCCAGAGACGGGAAGTGACTTAAGCAAGGTCACTCGGTCAGTAGGCAGCAGAATGGGATTAGAACATGGGACTCTTGTTCACTAGACTGCAGAGCTGGTCTGTGCTCGGAAGGATACAGCGCAATGCCAACAGCCTGAGTGCGCACTGGGTGATTCCCTGGTAGCCCGGTTTCCTTGTCTGCAAAGCTTCTGAGACCTGAGGAGACCCAGGGGCTACCCTGTACTCTCATACCCACCTTCTTTGCTTGGAAATCCTGGTGGTGCAGTGGTTAAGAGCTACGGCTGCTAACCAAAAGGTCAGCAGTTTGAATCCACCAGGCGCTCCTTGGAAACTCTATGGGGTGGCTCTACTCTGTCTTATAGCGTCACTATGAGTTGGAATCAGCTGGACGGCAATGGGTTTGGTTTTTTCCTTTGGTTTCCTTTGCTTAGGCCATTCCCTCTACTTGAAATACTCTCTTTCCTGTACTCTCAGTCTCTATGTGTGGAAATCTTAGCTATACTCATTGATTCAAGAAACATCTATTAAGTTTCTACATGCTGGGGCCTATACCAGACTTTAGGGATACAAAATTGAGAGGAGTTTCTACCCTTAAGGAGAGTATACTGTTGTGTGCCATTGAGTCAATTCCCGCTTGTAGCGACCCTATAGGACAGAGTAGAACTGCCGCCATAGGGTTTCCTAGGCGGTAATCCTTACAAGAGCAGGTGGCCCGGTCTTGTCTTCCTGGGGGCCACTGGTATGTTCCAACCTGGGACATCTGGTTAGCAGCTAAGCACTTAACCATTGCACCACCAGTGCTCCTTTAAGGAAAGTCTAGGCTACTGAGAAGACAAAATCCTACGTAAATAACAGTATTATATAAATCGCAGGGAGGGGCACAGAGGAAGCAGCATCTAAGGCTTCCAAGGACCATAGACAGCAATGGCTCCCTCTAAAGCTGCACTGATGTTCACCTCTGCCCCCTTCCAGGTACAAACCCATCTCTTTCTCATTTCCCATCCTTTGTTAATATCACTACAAATTCAACACATTCTGCCCCCTACTATCATTACTTTTGTCCCAGGAAATCTCTCACTAGACTGTAAATGACCTGAAGGCAGCAGCCACACGTTTTATTTCTGTCTCCAAGATGGTTACCCCAGCGCTTTAAACATAGCAAGCATGCAAATGCTGCCTAAATTCAACATTTGCTTGTGTGAGATTGAACAGGATATGGAGCAACACTCCCCAACTTTAATGCAATATATGTTTACACCCGTCAAACACAACTACACATACTCGGTGTAAAGAGTACCTGTTCCTTACCAAGAAAGGCCACCTTCCTGGGAAGAAGAAGGCAAAGCACCGAGAAAGGAAAATGAACAAGGAGAGACAGGCACACCAGGAGCTTAGAACCAAAAACCAGCTCTCCATTATCTGCTGTAAATGTTTAATCACCACTGATTAAAAAGTTTCCATGTAGTTAATAACAGTACAGGCTTTAGAGGCTGACAGATCTGTCTGAATTCCAACTCAGACACTCATTAGCTGTTTGATTTTGGTAAAATTGGTTAACAGATCAAGTCTCAGTTTCTTTATCTGCAAAAAGGGAACAATAATTGTATACTTGATAGGGATGTGAGCATCAGACGGGATGATATGTGTAAAACACCTAGTATAGTATCTGGCATATAGCAGGCTTCAATAAAGTAGGAGCTGTTCCTCTCCATTAGGATAGTGGGACAGGGGTTGCCCCTACCAGGCAGTGCAACACTGAGAAGGGATAACGAACCAACAGATGAAAGGCAGGACACAGCCCCAATCAGGAAAAATTGTGGGAAAGTTACTCAGAAGGGGCACTATATTCAGGACATTCCCTCCTAACTGGTTGTCGGCTCCCTAGTCTTGGAAGACTCACCGTCACCCCGTATTTGAGTGCTAGTCCAGCCAGAGTGTCTCCAGGTGCCAATTCATGCTCCAGGCGTCTTTCCCTCACTGGGGAGCAGACAGACTGCACCAGGCTTCCATAAGAACGAGCCCGGCTCCCCTGAAGCAGTCCTGATCCCCCGAGGTGGGGCTGTCTAGAGGGAGAAGCCATCTCCTCACCCTGCTGACAGCTGGGGTTGCGACTGATGGAGGACAGGCTGTGACCGACAGTGATGGGCCCGGTGTCTGGGAATGGATATCCAGGAAGATTCCTTCCCCTTCTTCTCTCCTAAATCTTCCCTTTCCCCCGGCCCCGCCCTCAGCTCCCCCTCACTCCCCGAACCTCCACCCGCCCCCGTCACTCCTCCCCTCCCTCCCCTAGGGACCTAGCATATTCTAGACAGATGTTATCTGCCCTCGCTTCTTCTCCCTCCAAGCCCCTTTTCCACAAATCTGGCCCCTGGGTATTCAGTCTCTACCAGGGTCTCCTTTAGAAGCACACAACTCCTCGCTACACCGACCTTTGACCTTGCAACTCTAGGCACACTCCTCAATGCCCTTCCCTCAGTTTGCTGCACAGCCGGGCAGCCCGACCCCCGGACCCTCCTTCACCCCAGCTCCGCCCCGTCCCGGGGTTGATCCTCTAGGGTCTGGAACGAGCCGGGCCCACCCCAGGTGGGCTGGCGCCGCAGACGAAGTGCGTGTGGTTGGCGACTTTGGAGTCCACTACCCACTCAGCGATCCTTAAGGGCCTCCTCCGCATCAGATCGGTCTTAATATCGGGCACAAGCATCAGCTCTACATTTAGGGTCTTGTCATTCCAAACGCCTCGAATCTGCCAAGATGCCAGGGCCTGGCTCCAGCCGGGCGACCAGTTCTTGGAGAAAAAACTTCATTTCCCAAGAGGCTTCGCGCCTGCGGGGTCGCAGGGCACCATAGAAAATGCAGTCCCCTTTGGGCGAGAGGCTCCTTTCGGGATCGCGCAATGCATGCGGGGAAGCGCATCCCGGAAGTAAGGAGGCCAACGGGAAAAGACCGGAAGAGGGTGAGGAGACGCCCCTCTCTTGCTACGGTGGCCTGAAGGGAGCGAGGAATTCGGTGCCGGCCAATTGATCGCTTCTGGGACGCGCAGTCGCGATGTCTTTCAAGAGAGAAGGAGACGACTGGAGTCAACTCAGTGTGCTCAAAGTAAGCGCGAAACGAGAGGGTCTGGAGCAGCTTCAGCCGCCCTCTGGAAACTATGAAGGAGCTTTGTGTCGTTGCTCGGGCAACAGCTCCGTGGGGTGTGGTGCTAGAGGGAGCCAGGCTGCTAGACCTCTTGGCCCTGTGATCGCTGGTCTCCCATAGTCCGTATTCCCTTTGGTGCCTCGTCCCGATCGTTTTTCCCTTCCACTCCTCCCTCCTGTCCTGCTGATCCCGCGCGGACTTCTTCTCCTACCCCTCCAGAAACGAAGAGTCGGGGACTTGCTGGCCAGCTACATCCCGGAGGATGAGGCGCTGATGCTGCGGGACGGACGGTGAGGGCGAGGAGTGGCTCAAGCCGGAGAGTTCCGCGGTTGGAGGCTCCCTGAGCTTTTGTTGTTAAGGAGGAGTTGTGGACTATCTAGAATTCTGTGGCAGGGAGTGAGGGACTGAGACAGGAGGTGGTGGTGGGGGTTAGGGGAACTGGGAGTTGAGCTTTGGAAAGGTGAGCTTTGGAAAGGGCTTCGAGGGCCGGATGGGACCTACAGCAGGCCTCCCACCCCTACCCCTGTACCATTTGTCTTCTGTCGCCCTCCTCAGCTTTGCTTGCGCCATCTGTCCTCACCGGCCTGTACTGGACACCCTGGCCATGCTGACTGCCCACCGTGCGGGGAAGAAACATCTGTCCAGTAAGTTTTGAGGAATACACGGGATAGAGAGTAAACCCTGGACACCTCTGCAGACCATTCCTGGTACTTTGCTTGAATTCCCTCCTCCTTACTCCTCAGGCCTGCAGGGTTTTTATGGCAAGAAGCAGCCAGGAAAGGGAATGGAGCAGAATCCAAGACAGCAGAATGAACTGAGGCGGGAGGAGACCAAAGCTGAGGTAATCAGAGAGGGGAAGGTGTGTCCCAGACAGGACCCTGCTGCACACCCAGGCTTGAGGGGCTTCAGCTTCTCTCGAGCTCTGAAGCCTCTGATTCTTTTCCTGTCTCCATACCAGGCTCCTCTGCTGGCCCAGACTCGATTTATCACTCACAGTGCTCTGCACAGAGCCCCCCATTATAACAGTTGCTGCCGCCGGAAGTACAGGTCTGTGGGATGGGAAAGCCAGAGAAAAATATGATGGTTTGAGGGTGGGAAACAGGGAAAGGACAGCATCACCGTATTGGCTCTTAATTTTATGTCTATGATCCATTTTGAGTTAATTTTTGTATATGGTGTGAGGTAAGGGTCCAACTTCATTCTTTTGCTTGAAGATTATCCAGTTGTCCCAGTACCATTGGCTGAAAAGACTATTCTTTCCTCACTGAACACTGCTGTATTAGGAGGAATTAAGAATAGGGGAATAACTATGAAAGGTATTTCACGTTGCTTAGGGACATAAAAAGATGGAGACAGTGGGCAGAAAAGAATTGCCGGTGTGGGAATCAGTAGGGAGGGACAGGCAGATAGATAGCTCTCTAATTATTATTTTCCAAATTGTATTCTGAGGAATTCTGGTGTTCTGAAGATGCGAATCGGTATTCCAGGAAAAAGAAAAAGAATTTTGTGGTTTCAAATAAAGTTTGGGATATGGCGCTTTGTAATCCCACTTGAAAAATAGTAATATTAGCAAAAAAAAAAAAAAAAAAAAACTTTAATAATTTTGTTTAACCTAGGCTTTCCCAAATTCATTTGATTTCAAAATCCTTTTTATGCCAAATACTTATTAACAGCTCGAGGAATGCAGTTCAGGAAACACTGCTTTGAGGGGCTGGGAGGTCACAGGAGAGCTGGCTCTTTCCTTTACTGCTTTTACAGACTTCAATCCTCCTCTCTCCAGACCAGAAGCCCCTGGTCCCTCTGTCGCCCATTCCCCTTTTCCACCCCCAGAGGTTGAACTCCAGAGTGGGAAGATTAGCAGAGAATCTGAGCCTGAAGCTGGCCTACAGGCCAAGAAATCAGCAACTGTCCCAGCCCCTGCACCCATGAGCCCCACGAGAAGACGAGCCCTGGAGCGTTACCTCACCCTTCGAAGGTAACTATGCCAAATCACTTCCTCAGATTTGCTGTTTTCTCTCTAACCTTCCTTTTTGCAAATCTACTCAGCTGCTTTTCTTTCTTATTCTCACTAACTTCCTAATAAACCTCCCGTCATCATTCTGACCAATTCTGTTTTCTCTGATATTTCCAGCTCTGGATGGATCCCAGATGGACAGGGTCGATGGGTGAAAGATGAGAATGTTGAGTTTGACTCTGATGAGGAGGAACCCCCTGATCTCCCCTTGGACTGACACCCTCTTTCCCCGTTCAGTTCACAAATAAACTGCAGCAGGCGCTGGGAGCCTAGCTTTCCTTGAGTCTCGTTCCTTGTCCCGTCTCGGGATTTCAGAACTGTTCATTCTCAGGCTAGACTCTCCTTCCTTCCCGTGTACACAGCTCCTCGTACTTCTCACCCCACCCCCACCTTCTACCGAAGTCATGCCAGGCGTCAGCTGCACGCAGCCCGGCACCCTATTAATAAGTCTGTCAGAAGGAGGGCTCTGCCCTTCATGCTGTCTGCCTCCTTCCCCACCTCCACTCCAAGTCCTTTCACCTTCAAATCACATGAAGGACCTGGGTGGGCACTGGGGGGACCCAGCCACATCTGGAAACAGGTGAGGCTTGGTGCCCTGGGAAAGTAGAACAGACCAAAGGCCCTGGCAGAGGTATGGGGAACACCAAGAGAGGGAGCTCCCCCACCTCCTAGTAACCTGAACCTCCCTGCCTGCTGATCCCCAGAGTATAAATAATCCCCTGGTGAACTGGCAGGAACCCTTGGGGGTTATTGCCAAGATTCCCACCCCAAAGCCCAGGGCAGGCAGAGCGGACAGAAGGGCTTTTATTTACAGGAAGGGGGATAGATGAGGATTGAAGTGTCCAGGGCTGCCAGCTCTGGTTGGTACAGGAAAATGCAGCGTTATCTCTTCTTTTGCTGGCGACCTGTAAGGGCGGAGAGGAAACACAAGTCTTGGTTCTGTCCTCCTGCAAAGGCAGTCCTCTCCATTTCCTGGCCCTTGAACAGACTCCTAAAGAGGCCCACACCATGTTAAGAAAACAAAATAAGAAACCACACCACAAATAAAAACCCCATGCCTCCAAGCAGCTATCTCTGGCCTCCTCTCTCTCTCCACTGGTACATATTTGCGGCAGGGGGACTTTTCTATCTACTTCCTGATCCCTCGCGGGATCTGAACTTCTCATTTGGATGTCTGTTTGGCAGCGCGGAGGCTGCTGGTCCCACGCTAAGTCTGTATGCAGGAGGATCCTCCAGCTTCTGCGCTGCTTGGCCCTCTCCCTACAGACCGTGTCCGCAGTCACTCACGCAGTTCATTGTTCCGGGTCACGGCTTGGGCCGCCCGCGCCCGCGGCCCCTGCTGTGTGAAGTGGTGGCTGAAGCGGACGATGGAGGGACACTGCTCCAGCACAGCGGCCATCTCCATCTCCACGGCGTCACCAGGCCACTGGCGCTGGGGAGGGAGAGGCAGAGGCTGTCAGCTACCTTCTCTGGGCCGTTCGCCACCCCACACCACAGACCCCTTCGGGAGGTCAAAGGGGCTGGTTTCTCCATAGTGGCTGATGAGAGGTGCTGACCTGGACCCCTCCTAGAGACAGTGACGTAGAGGAGAATTCACACCAGATGAAATGAGGTGGCTGGCCCAGTGGCTGGCTCAGGAAGGGGGCTCAGTGGGTGTTAGCTGATGGCAGACAGGAAGGGGGTGCTGACCTGGTTGTCCACACGGAGCTCAGTGAGTGTGGCGTTCTCCCGAACTGCCTTCAGCACAGCCATGAGCCCTGTGCTGCTAATAAAGTTGGATTCGATGTTGAGGCTCTGGAGGCTACGATTTTCACGCAACATGTCAGCCACCGCCTGGGTAGTGGGGACTTGGGTTAGGAATAGGGAGAAGTTTCTCAGGTGACTGAGGAGAGGAAGAACAGGAGCAAGAGCGAAGCACAGCTCTGAGTCCCTGAGGAGCTGTACGTGGGGCCAGAGGGGAGCAGAGGGAGGGCAGGTGTTAGGGAGAGCGGTGGAGGTGGGAGCATTACGGAGGGCTGCGGCTCTCCGGGAAGATGATCTGAGGGTCACAGAGTCTCCATCGGGGCAGCCCTGCCAGGGTGCACGTCAGAGTGTGGGGAGAGGCGTGGGGATGGCAGCTAGCCTTACGTTGGCGATGGGGTCGCCACTCCTAGTCGCCACCAGACTGAGGCTCCGGATGTAGGTGTTTGTCTTCATGGCTTCACACAGCTCAGTTAATGTGGATACCGGGATGTCCTGCCAGCAGGGGGACGGGAGATAGTGGGCTAAGAAGCTGGGATATGTCAGCCGTCATTCTGCTGTTACTGTTTGGAGGATGGCAGTCAAATACCTGTATGTTATTGAGGTTCACCTCCTCCAGCTCCTTGTCATTGCCTCGAGCCCTCGCTAGGATCTCCTCTATGTCTGTGGGATTCGGGGGCTCATCCGGCACTGGCTTATACTTGTCAGGCTGCACCACACCTGGGGGGGAGGGCCGGAAGGGAACCCCGCGTGTCCACACAGCCTCCTCCCCACAGGTTCTCTGTACCCCTGCGCTCGTGCTCCCCCCGCAGACCCTGCGACCACCGCGGACACTCACTGCTGATGCCTTCGGTGTTGCAGATCTCTCCGCTGCAGATGGCATCGTAGTACTGCTTGTTGCTCATCAGCGTGTACATGCCCAGGATTGCTGGAGAGGGTTGGCAGAAGGGGCACAAGGAGTGAGAGGGGACCGGCTCCAGGCACCCCTCTGCCTCATTCCGAATCTGCTGTAGCATCTCCAAAGCCTAACGGCTTCTCCCCCTCCAGGGAGCTTTCCCACCCTCCCCAGGCCTCAGGGTCCCCTCCATCAAGTGCCCAAGGCAGTGGCTTTAAAACATTCAGATGGGGCTGAGGGAGGGTCCCTAAGGAGCCACTGGAGGGTGAGCCTTCCTTACTTCCGCGAGAATAGCTTCACTTTTATTCGCTTTTATAATCCACGGGAAATTGCCTTGAGATGTGAACCAACTGAACTGAAGAAACGAGCGAATGGGTGAATACGTAAGAAAAATTCAAAAACCGCTGCCTGCAAGGCTCTCTCAGACCTGACCTGGTTCAGGGCCTCCCTGCAGCCCCACGCACGGCTAGGATCTCTCTGCCCCTGCTTTTCCCAGCCCCTCACATCCCACAGCTGCCCACCTGCAATGTCACACATTTCAGCATCTGTGGCTTGGGCCAGTGCCTCCTCCAGCTCGGGCTCCAGGGTGATCTGCTCGTGGGCTGGGATTTCCCTCTTGGGCTGAATATAGGGTTTCCCTGGTGGGGAGATGTAGGAGGGCTCAGGTAGAGGCTATTTCTCCCAAGATCTTGGCCTCCAGCTTCCTTTCCTTCTTAGGGAGGTGGAATGCTGGGTCACTAGGGGACACTGGAAAGTCTGAGTCCTCACCGAGCTCAGGAACCACAACCCCTGGGTCCCTTGATGAGAACAAGCCTGGCATGCAGCATCAGGGCACCTGAGTCCCCGGGAAGCTTGGAGCAGGGAGATGAGAGGGATGCTGGAGCGGGGACATGTGACAGACAGCCACTGGGGTTCTGGGAGGCACCAATACTGGGGTCCCCATACCCTTCTTCTCGCCTGTGAAGGGGACCAAGTCATCACGCTCTTTGACCTCTAGCGCCTGCTGTTCCAGGTACTGCAAGAGGGCCTCTCGGTCCAGCGGCCCCGTTGGACTCTTCTTTGTCTGGTCACGTTGTCTTAGTCCAGCCGGCAGGAGCATGTTCTTAGGGATGGGTTTTGGGGAGCAAGTTAGACCTCTCCTCTGACCTGGGGTACCTCTGGGGCTCCCTAAAATATCTCCAGGCATCTTTTCCCTGGTCTTCTTGGGGCTCCAGGCCGTGTAGACAGCCCTGGTCTCGCCACCCGGGGCCCAGCACCCTTCCCAAACGCCTGGGGACTGCCCTGGTTCCCTACCTCGGGGTCCATTTCCTGTAGCTCACAGTCCAGTTGCTCTAGCTCCTCGGGGCTCAGGCCCCTCAGGATCTCATCTTCATCTATGTCTCTGTATTTCTCCAGCTCCTTCTGATAGGATGACATGGTGGCCCCCACCCCTCCCCACTGTGGTGCTCACACAGGCTCCGGAGCCTGGGGGACCTGGGGAGAGTGGTTGAATGATGGCAGACGTACATGGACACAGTAGGGACACAGAGAAGTCAGCCAGCAGGCAGAGCGAGGAACTGGATGCCTTGGAGGTTAGTTGCGGATAGGAAGTTGGAGGAAGTTTAGGTTGTCTAGTTAAAACCAGAACCTCCTGCTTCCTGCTTCCCCAGCTTCCAGCCACTCTGGATGGGGATCCCAGGCATCCAAGCTGGGTTTGCCTTTCCACTGTCTGACGGAGAAATCTTGGCAACACCTCTCCCCTATAACCTCGCCTGTCACTGCTGCTCACCCTAGCACAGCTGCTGGGGGCCCTGCCAGCACAGCTGGTCCTGTGCCCAGTTCCTATTGAAAGGAAGGGGGTGGGCAGAGAGCTTCAGGAAAATTCCTCCTCTCTTCCCCATAAGCTAGCCTTTTTCCTAAACCAGTTAAGGAGATCAAGGCTTGTGGGGGAAAAGAGGCGGACAGTTCTCTTGCCCTCCCCTCACGTCTCCTTGTATCGTAGGGCAGATCAAGAGTTCACTGTCTGTGTTTGCTAGAATTCTAAATCCTAAGGAAAGCAAGGGCTCAGAAAGTCTGAGGGACTTCCAGGTTGGGGGAACGGTGGTAAGACTTCAAGACAAAGGGCTGAGTCCCCATAGTTTGTCCCTAGCTTTGACAGGAAGGTGACACGGGCCCCATGGGTGGGAAATGCCTTCTCAATGGGACAGTTTCTCCAACAACAGTGAGGGGATTAAACTTGCACGACCTCTTACAATATGAAAAATACACGCAAGCTGTGCATACCGTGTTAAACAGGAAAGCACCACAAAATGTGAGACACTCACACGGACGACGTCAGCCACACAGGACAGTGGCCGAAACACAGAGCGACAGAGACGGGCACACTCCATACCATTCCCAGCGGGAGCCACTCCTCTCCTCCCATCTCCCACCAGGCTGACCCATGAGCCCCCCGCCTTCCCCACCTACCCGTCCCGATGCCACCTCCCTCCTCACCTCCCCTTCCGTCGGTGGGTCTGTTCTGCTGGAGCAGCGGTCCCAGCAGGAGGAGCGCGGGTGCCGGGGGAGAGGGTGGGGGAACAGTGAGCTCAGCATTTTATTATTTTAGCTCGGGCCAGGTGGGGGGTACTGGGAGATCACATATACACAGCCCCCATACCTTGCCCAGCCCTGAGAGCCTCTAGTGGCCGCTAACAGACACGGCACCTCCTTCCCTTGTCTTCACAGCAGCCCGACTCCTGGACACTGGAGCTCTACGACAGTAAGGGTCACTGCTTATTTGGGGCCTGCTTTATTCAAAGCAGTTTTCTGAGGGCTAGAAAGGCAAATATGAGGATTTTGTTTTGGCGTCTAATTTTAAGGCACTTACAGTCTAGTTGGAGGAGTACTCTACAATTAAAACAGGACAGCTCATAGGAAATGCTTTCCATCAAAGGAAGATCAGCATATACTCAGACATTCACAAACACTTCTCATTCCCAACCCTACAGCAGACACCAGACAAATGGGGTCCATCTATTTTATTATATTAAAACCCACAAAACCCGCAGGAACTAGGGGGAAGAAATACAGAAGAGAAGAGGGGTGGGTAAAGGAAGATCAGAGATGACAGAGGAGAAGCGGGGAGAGGGGAGGGAGTGTCAAGAGACCCAAGCCAGGCCCGGAAAGAGGTTTCGAAGGATTAGACGTCTCTTCATTTGATGACGATCTTCTGACGTAAGGCTCGGGGCCCAGGCCCAGCGAGGGGCTCGGGAGGCGGCGGGCCGGGGCCCAGGGCTGAGGCAGCCGGGAGTCCGTGGGCAGTGATGTACTTCTTGTAGGCCTCACGGATGATCTTGAAGGCGCGAGCAGTAGCGTAGGGTATGTCTGTAACAGGGTCCCGGTACAGGGCTGGACGATGGGTCACTGGGCAGACTTCCCGAACAGGGACCTTTGGGGGTCGCCCTGGGGGGAACCACTCCTCAAATGTCGCATCATCACTAAAGGTGATGAAGGTACGTGAGCAGCGGGCAGGGGGGACGACGGCTCCGGTCCCCGCATGTGGAGTCAGTGCAGAAGCCGCGGGAGCAGGATCAAGTCTGAGGGCAAAAGACAGAGACACAGAAACAAGGAGTGAGGAGAGAGGAGAAAACATCCAGAGAGAAAGATCCAAGAGGTGAGGAGAGAAAAAGGAGGCAGAACGAACCTATGAAGTAACAAGGCTGGAAGGAAACACAGGAAGGAGAGAGAGAGAAATGAGGAGGTGAAGGAAGGAATTGGAAAAATACCCAAGTGTCAGAGACAACTGTGTGAGGAAGGTATGTGAAATGGGGCTAAGGGAACACTAGCCGGACAGAGAAGGGGACCCTCTCCCTTCCCCGAGTCACTCACCCTTCTACATCGACATTCTCTTCCTTGGGGCCAGGCTCCCCAACAAGTGGCACTGTCACAGAATGATAGGTGATGATGGGCCCAGAGCACTTCCGTTTCTTGTGAACCTGCTTCTTTTTGTCAGCCTCAAGCCGCTCATACGTCTCTTCAGGTAAAGGAAGAAACGAGGGATGGTCAGCATTGCCCCTCTTCCCGCCTCTCAGTCCTGTTCCATGACAGTCCTCTTCCTGGCTGTCTAGCGACTACCCAAGTCCACTATGGAAAGTGCCCCAAGCTCCCGGCACCTCCCATTTCAGGTTTTCTGCACGGCACGCCTGCCACCCTCCCTGTTCTTCGAGTCTCAGGTACTGAGTCCCTCACCCCCTTGGACGTGCAGCACCTCAAGGGGGGAAGGGCTGCCTTGACGACGGGCTTGGTTGTTCCACCATGGAGGTACCAGAATCTCCGCGACAAATCCCTGGCAACTCACTCCCTTCCCAGGCAGCTCATTCCATCCTTAGGATCTCTAGTCATTACAGAGTTCCTTCCCATGCTGAGCTGAAATATACTTCCTGATGACACTGTTCTACCCTCTAAGGCCATAAAGGACACAAGTCTGATCTTCCACATGACCGTCCTTTAAACAGTTGAAGTTAGTGCCCAAGGCTCCACTGCGTCCTCTCCAGGCTGACAGCAACACCCATTTCTTTGAACCCTTTCTCAACAGACATGGTTTGAGCCATGCCCTTCTTTGACTACCGCTGGGCCTTGTACACACTCCCATTACTGTCCTTATCACAGTCTGGCAGAGGTGCAAGCTGGCAGCTCATCTAAGTGTTTACATTTGATCTACATAGCGTCTTATAGAAAAATCTGAATTGTTGACATTTAAAAAGTAGGTAATTACATTTAAATATAGAGATTTCTGGTTCTTCAACAATAAAATAATCTGGCAACCCTGGGTCTGCATTCCCACATCGCAACAATTAACTAAGCTGAGTAACTACTCCTCCTTTGACACCGTTGTCCAACTCACCACAGTCCTCCTAGGGACCCTGTGTGTGTCAGCCGCCCGCACTCTGTGACGCTGTTCTACGGCAACGACCACAGTCCTCCTGGGGACCCTGTGTGTGTCAGCCGCCCACACTCTGTGACGCTGTTCTACGGCAATGACCACAGTCCTCCTGGGGACACTGTGTGTCAGCCGCCCGCACTCTGTGACACTGTTCTAC